GGCCCGTTTGCTCGAAGCGCTAACCGCGGCTAAAGTTAGCCACAGTACCTAGGAGAGGGATTCTGAGATCATGTGACAGGGATCGGTAGGGATGCGGGAAAACATGGCGGTGCCCCGCAAAGTCAGCGCCGCTCGCTTCGGAACTAATATGTCGTTGTAGCTGCAATATCGCGCGCGTTAGTCAGTAACTAATAGTGCAGGAGGCTTTCGCTTTGCCTTACCTCACTTAAATCGCAAAGCATGAGCAATGACCTCGCCGCATTTTTTAGATAGTATTTCGATTCTGGCCATTCTTAAGCCTAAATGAACACGATAATTGTCGGCATGCATGGAAACGTCTTTGGAAAGTGGATTGCCTTGACTCAATCGGCCTTGTATTGATAGCACACAAATTTCCTAAGCACCGAGGTGCATGCTACGAGTGTAGTTGCAGGCATTGCGCGTGCTGGCGTATGCAGTAGTAATATACCCGTTGCTCTGAGCAGGGGGCGCGAGCGCGTCCGGAAGACTTACGCAAGACGCGACCAAGTTTTGCTGGCTGCATCATCCGTGTGGCGCTGTAACGTTCGATTTTGCACGTGCCACGTTCGAATACAAGCCGCTGTCAGCATCTGTAGATGTGCGGTAACAAAACGTCTAAAAAAAGTTAAAAAAAAAGAACAGAATTATGTTGCTTGCGGCCGCAGCGTTCCATTAAACATTCCTTTCATATTTGCTTTCTTTCACAGCTTCCGCGAGCACGTATATTTCACTTTACGTGATAGTGAAGCCGAAGCTACTCGGAAAAGCGCGTCATCCTGAACGATGCTCGCACTGCACGAGCGCGCGTGCTTGCCAGGGACGCGGAAAGCTCGCAGCTCTCTCTTGTAGCCTCTGCTACGCTGGAACTTAGAATGGAACTGAGTAGAAAAAACTCTAGTGGGGAAGCGTATTGATGCATGTTCGAAACGCGAACCAAATATTCTATTTTGCTCGCCTGCAGCGCTGCTCAAAACTTGTGAGCTACGGGCCTATCGTTCTAAAGGAAAAAGTCTAAAACAAATTTTGCCTTGCACGCGCGTTCGTCCAAGTCTTATAATGATTATTTACTTCGAATCTAAGAGGAAGGACAGCGAGCGCGGACCATAGAATTACACTTCCAGCGTTCTTCTCGATGCTTGGGTAATTTAGAAAAAGGTCTGTCGGGGCGGGACGCTGGTCTTCTTTTGTGTACTATTAATATCCGGTCGATTGAGTCAAGGCAATCCGCTTTCCAAAGACGTTGCCATGCCGACACTTATCGCGTTCATTTAGGCTTAGAAAGGCCAGAATCGAAAGACTATGCAACAAATGCCGCGAAGTCATTGCTCGTGCTTTGCGATTTAAGCGAGGTAAGGCAAAGCGAAAGCCTCCTGCACCATTCGTTGCTGACTAACGCGCCCGATAGTGCAGCTACAACGACATATTAGTTACAAAGCGAGCGGCGCTCACGCACCGGGGCGTCGCCATGCTTCCCGGCATCCCAGCCCCCAGTCACGTGATTTCAAACTCCCTCTCCTAGGTACTGCTGCTAACTTTAGCCGCGGTTAGCGCTTCGACCAAACGGGCCCAGGTTTTCTTTTCCGCCAGCTCTGCATGATGGCCAATTTACCTCGTTTCTTTATACTGGCTACTGCATGTCAGGAACATCGGTGGTTTTGATAGAACCGAGTTGGATGGACATCTGAGAATTTGAACTTATTAGTTAATACATTGAAAGCGACAGATACTGAATACATGTAGCGATGTAGGAGTGTGGCAGATTTAGAAATATAGAATGTTTTTAATTATAAGCTCGACCACTAATTCAATCTGAGTATTCTTAATCCTAAAGTCAGATTGAATGGAAATATGTAACCAGATGCACCACTCGCTGACAGTAACTCTGTCAAATGGCCACAACAATTTAAGATCCCTCCTCCAGGTCATACTTCAGAAAAACTAATAGTTTATTTTTCGGTTAATATTGGTTAAAACCGGTTACCGGTGAATAATTTATGGTTACGGTTACGGTTTTTATAAATATCAAATAGCGGTTTCGTTCCGGTTACGGTTACAGAAAAAATTTTGTTCCTAAACGGTTTTCGGTTACGGTTTGAGTCCCTGGTGACAGCCCTCTCTGCGTGGACGCGTGAACGAAGCCGCCTGATTGGTTAAAGTTTACATGACTGACCCTGCTTTCATCTGTTGTTTTTTAACACAAATCGCTTCGAGGTAACTGCGACATGACTGCTGTCTAACATAATCTTCAGCTATGTCGAGCTGACTTTGCCGCAAGTGGACAATTGTATATGCGGTCTTCAGTTTCCCTTTCGTGAATTTTAAAATGAACGTCGCCAAGCTGAAGGAACGACTTTCGTCAGGGCAGCTGAAGCTTGTCACAAAGGACTCCAAACAAAGTGATGTGTGGAAGAAATTTATGAAAGTTGTTGACGCAACTACGTCAGCACCGCTGGGACATGTCCAAGCCACTGCAAAGCATTTTTGACCTACGACGGCACCAAGACTGGGACCTCCCATTTGAGCCAGCACAAATGTAAGTCGTCCACTTCTGAGTGTGCGAGTGTTACTTCTTTTTTCGCTACGAAGAAGTCCAGCATTCCTACAATTGTCAAAGAGAAGTTGACAACGGCTTGCGTTGGCTTATGCACCAAAGATATGCAGCCATTTGATGTAATTCATGGAGACGGCTTTGTTCAGCTCGCAGACAAACTAATTAGCATTGGCACCCGTTGCGGAAACATCTCTGCGAATGACGTGCTTCCACATCCCACAACTGTGTCCTGAAAAGTAGCCGATGTAGCGAATGCTATGGGAGATGCCACGAGGCCTGTCATTGAAGCAGCATTGAAGGAAAGTTGCTGCGCTGTTACAACTGACATGTGGACAGACGACTACAAAAAGATCGCGTATACTACCGCGACGGTTCACTACATTGATGAAAACTGGGTTCTGCAGAGCAAAGTTCTCTTCACTTGCGATTTTCCGAAGGAAAGGAAGACGGGCGAAAACATACGAAAAGAAATTGTTCGAAGGTTTTCAAAGCTTGGTTTCAGTGAAGACCTGGCGAACGTGGTGTTCGTGACCGACCAAGGTGCAAATAATATAAGTACACTCTGTCCGTGCACAAGGATGAGTTGTACTGTTCACATCTTGAACGCCGTACTCCGGCATACATTTGACGAGTCGTTCGTGACAGAAGAGCTGCCCGCCATGCACGAAAACATCAAAGGTGTCAAGTCTGTTGTGACTTCTAAAGCAAAGTGGACTTGCTAGCGACTTGCCGCATGCTGTGTACCAAGATGTGAGCACAAGGTGGAACTCCAAACTGGCAATGATCCGGTCGGTATTTGTCCAGTACGAAGATATCGAACGTATTTTGGACACCAGAAACAACTGCTTGCTTGATGAGGTGAACAAGTCGAACCTCAAAGAAATGATTGATTTTTTGGAACCTTTTAAGGAGGTGAGCGACAAGTTGGAGCAAGATAAACACCCCACTTTGCCGTTTGTGCTGTTGTGCTTTGCCAAACTAAGCAAGCATCTTCAAGTGGAGCCTTGAGACTCATCGCTTACTGCAAAACTCAAAGAGAGGGCAAAGCATTTCCTGGAAGGCAAACTAGAGCTCGAAGAAATGCACAAGATAGCGACATTCTTGTGTTTACAGTACCGACAACTCTGCATGCTCCCTGGAAACGAAAGAAAATTGGTCTATGGCAACGGGAAAGAGAGGATATTCGAGACAACACTTCAGCTCCCACGAAGCGTAGATGTGTGGATGAGTTCCAAGAATGGTGCGATGTAGAAGTAGTGCCAGAACAAAGCGATGAAGTTGACAAGTACTTGTGTTCCGAGTATGGTGGCGAAGGTGGAATGAAGGACTTGATGCTATGGTGGCAGACTCACCAGATAATGTTCCCGCAACTTGCAGCCCTTGCAAAGAAGGTACTCTGCATCCCAGCCACAAGTGCCAGTAGTGAGAGATACTTCAGTGCAGCTGGGTACGTCATGAATGAGCGGCGAACCTGCCTAAAGCAAGAATCTCTAGATAATCTCTTATTTTTGCACAAAAATATGTAATCATTGAACATTCTTGTTCTCTCCCAGCTTTATGTTAATATGTTGTAACCTCAGTGAGTTTATTTTTTCTTTCCCATTGTATATGCACCTTGTAAATAAACCGCTATGCTTTGATTCTCGTGTTTAACTTTTTTAACCGAGCTGCATAATACCTCTGTATGCTGAGTGTTGTCCCCAATGTCTAACTTGTTGGCTTCACATTACGTAATATATTTTATATAAGATAATAATGTACTCGTCTAACTGACCACAGCCACATACACAAGCTCATAGCCTTCTGAGCTGCTTCGATTCCTAGCAAAAGCTGTGAACTCGTCGTGTAATAGATATTTAATGAGCAGGCCGAGGGCACCGACACGGGCTTTTTCGAGCCTATTCTGCCTGTGTTTGGACAAGGAGGCGTGTCCGGGCCTGGGCCAGGGCTGAGTGCAGGTGCCAGAAGCCGGGCCGGGCCCAATAAGAGGGGAGTCCCGTCGGGCTGGGCCCGGGTCGGGTAAGACTGCGTGCCAGCGGGCCCGGGCCGGGTAAGACTGCGTGCCAGCGGGGCCGGGCCGGGCCTCAAAAAGTAGGCCCGTGCAGTGCTCCAACGCAAATCACGAAAGGGTTCTGTGCAACTTTGGTTGGCTTGAAATTGCTCGTCTCTTACGATCAACTTCTGTAAATATGTAATGACACGCATTTACTCTAACTTCGTCCCCACCTGTTCATACATACATACATCTCAGTGCTATAGTCACAGTGCTGAGCTGCTGCTGTATCAGCACTCCACTGCATGTGAGCCCACCATTTCCTGCTCACGCACGCAATGCAGCGCTGAATCGGCACCCACTCTAGCTCCGACCTTGCGTCATCTCAGTGCCGAGATGCACGTGCAAACCGTCCTTTGTTCCCGTTGCCCACAGGCAAGGCAGTGATGCTGCACGTGTGCGACATGATCCCGAGGCTCAAGTCGAGGACCCAGAGGCAGGCAGGAGGGGAGCAGGCATCCCAGAGTGGCACCAATGTGGCCAAGAAGGGAGGGAAGGGTGGCAAGGGTGGCAAGGGCAAGCGGTGAGGGTGCCTGCCACACAGCCACCGGCAGCCATCCGCACCCCGGGGATGCCTCCCCCTGCAGACGCATCCCTGCTCGAGCAGAAAAGGAGGGTTCCTCTCCCACTTGTCACTAATAAACATTTCCATGAAGTTAGCTCTTTACCTTTGTCTGTCTCCTCAACACTCGAAAGTCAAGTTTGTCTACGGAGGTTAAGATGGCAGGAGTTAGTCTGTCTCAATACAGTGCCTGGTGTCTCCGCTATAGACGGGCAATTTGGCCAGTCCAGTACAATCGTCTTTATTGAGCACACCTAGTAACGATTACACAACCAGAGACCAATACGACGCTCATTCAGATTGAAATGGGCAGAACATAATTGAACCCAGGGATGATCTCTGGTTTCACACACGAGTTGTTCGCATTGCATACCATCACCAAGTAGCACTGGTTTGAACAACAAAGTGCATTCATGAATGTTGTCCGTAATCATACGTTGTTGATTGTACCTAACCAGCGTGCAGGAGTGTTTTGCTGCGTTGTTGCCGAAATTTCTCTGTGGCATTGCAATTGCTTTGTGTCAAAACGGATGTATAGGTAAGAAAAAAGCTGCAAGTTATTCAGAGCACGACGAGTGCTCCGGAAAGATTCCTGAACACGTTGAAGATATGCCTGAAGGATGGACTGCCCTTAATTATGAAGTTATGGATCAAGACAAAGACTTTGGAAGCAAAAAGTAACCATTCAGCCTGCAGAGAAGTGAATAGAATAGAACCTGTTGGGTTTGCAGCAGAAAATATTTGGAAATGTAATTTCTAAAGTTTAACGTTTGTGACTACGTAGCAAAAAATTATCTTCTCGAAAAAGGACTGTCAACAGTAAGCTTCAGTAAATTCTGATAGTGGGCCAGGAGACAGGTGATAAATAGGAGCAAACGGTAAAGTTAGACAGGCTTGAAAGATGAACCTTACAATAAAATAGAAAAACTGCATGTGCTTTCCATCCTGAACCTGAAGCAAGTAAAAAGCTTGCTAACTGCATACGCCATCTGTGTGCACTCAAATATCTACGCATGTGACTGTTGCAACTAAAGCCGCCACAGTTTGTCCAAGAGTGACGCCCCAACAGGTTCTGTGTCCCGGGATCTACACTACTTGCCTGCTGACATCCTTCCAAGCACATGGCTTGTCGGCAGGGCATGAAACCTCATGAACGTGCATTACATCGAAGTAAAAAGTGTTTATTTGAGACAATGGGCAGAGTAAGCATTCCTCTTCACTCGTATCCCCTGCACAAAAGAAAACCTCTCTGAAACACTTGACAATAGAAAACAAAGGAAGTCACAGGAAACAAAAGGAAGACAGAGTCAGTCGAAGGAAGCACGGAGGAAACATTCTTAAAAGGCAACAATCGGCCAACTTGCTCCATCGATATGATCCATCCATTTCCACCCTTTTCACTTCCAAGCAAAGCCAACCAATATGGCCCGTACCTAGGGTTGGGTGTTTTCTTTCGGTAAAACCCAATGCTCCCCCCCATACCACACCACCCCCATACCACATCATCAAGATACAGGGCGAACTCCTGTAGTGTTACTGAATCATTATTGGGTTTAAGTGGTTCAGCGAACGTCCGGGAGTGGGAGCGATGGCGTGCTGGTTCCGAGCGCTGCTGCTGCGCTGCGAATGTATCGTTAGGGCTAGGAAAATAAAGAGTCAGCGAGTGCTGTCTGAGACACAACGGAGTACGGTCATACTTTTATTTATACGACAACTCCCTTCTCCCCAAATCAGGGCTGGGCAGAGATGCTCCAAAAAATATTTCGGAATACAAATACTGAGATACATGTATTTTAAGGCCCAAAATACAAAAACCTAGATACATTTGTCTTTTATGCAACAGGATATCCCAAGAGATACTTCTGCAAAAACGGTGAAAAAGTATTCCGTACAGATACAGATACTCATAGAAATACATTTGTTCCCATACGGTACTATGTGGTAACTTAGGCTTGCGCTCCTCTCTTTTTGTGTCATTTTTTGCACTTGCCCTTACCTCGAACTTTTTATTTATTGAAAATGCCGCTAAAAAAAACATGTTGCCCCCCGGAAAGGACTCCGTGCATAGTTACTGAATGCTAAAGACTGCATGCCATAATATGGGGACGTTGGACAACAGACCCATGCCTTTTCTCCACTCAACTCCTTTACAGCATTTGCTCTCCTAAATTGGAAAGAGTGGAAGGCTTTGTAAAAGGACTGTATCCTGCAGGCACGTATCCAGGGGGGTGGCCCATGAAACCTGCCCCCTGCCCTTCCCCCCCTCCTCCTCCTCCTCTCCCCCCCCCCTCCTCCTCCTCCTCCTCCTCCTCCTCCTCCTCCTCCTCCTCCTCCTCCTCCTCCCCCCCCCCCCCCCCCCGAAATCTTCCATTTTGCGGGGGCCTCCTCTCCCCCCTCCCCCTCATACAACATTTTGTCATGGGCGGGCCCCCCCTGAAACAAAATCCTGGCTACGTGCCTGGTATCCTGTTATTTTTGCAAGCAACCTTCTCTAAACCAGTTGTTTCTTTTTTATTTTTTAACATCAATGATTGTGATGGATCACATGTTATAAATTCTGAAGTGTCTTGCACTAAGAGGATGTTTGTATCTTTTAATTTTATCGTAAAAACGGCAAGAAATGTAACGAGATACCTAAGCCTGGCAAAGTATTATGATGTAAGCAATGCACTGTAAATGTATTTCACTACTGAGATACAAATACATTTTTCAAATGTATCTCGATACAGAGATACAGATACTTGAAAGTATCTTTAAGATACCATCGAGATACACTTGTATTGCAATACTGCCCAGCCCTGCTCCAAATCAGCCCTCATGTTTCATGGTTTCAATAGCGATGGAGACGAACACTAGAGCCACTGACTGTACCCGGAGCACTGAAAGCCCCCAAGCTTCATTTCAGAACTGCATTATGGCACTGCAATTGATAGTAGTTTAAAAATGGCGGTCCGAGCAATTGAATTGAATCGGGGCAGACGAAGCTGACAGCTTGCTTGCCGGCTGGCAGACACGCCGACATATTCCTTTCATTAACTAAACTTTGGGCTGGTAAAAAAAAAGAAAAAAAAAAAAGAAAGCCAGAGCAAAAACTAACACGCCCGTCGTTTTCTGATTGGTTATAAACGACCTAATCGGAGTTCCTGCATGTAAACTTGTTCTACTTATATCTTAATTTATTTTCTTTCAATTTCAAGATGGGCATCACCAGCCAATAAGAATGCCCGATTGGCTCGGTTCCACACTTCGACCAGGTGCTATGGAATGCCGTACTACTCTCAGAACATTCAGTGGCCCTTTAACCTCTAAACCTGAGTATTTTCATATCAATACGAAGGAGAGCTCTAAACAAAGTAAATATCAGGAGGAGTAGCACATAGTTTATCCTATTTATTTGGGGCCCCTATATTTCCTTCTCTCCGACCCTCCTCGCTTGATTGTTGCGGGCCACAGAGTTAATGCCCTCACACTCCTTTCTGGATGTACGTCAGCCTTTAAGATAGTGCCCCCCCCCCCCCCCCCCCCCCACACACACACACACACACACATACAAAAAAAAAAAAAATAATAGATAGCAGAAATGAACAAGAGGCTCACTTGACGAGATGTGCCAGCTCCCAGTTGGAATCCAGTTGGAAAGGCCCTTCAATCTTTACACCTTCTGCAGTCACCACTGCCAGTTGGTACTGAAAGTGGAGGGGATGCCAAAGCTGGCTCATCAGACTCCAAAACTATTCTAGAAATTTGTGATGTACAACTAAAGCCCTAATGCAAGCAGCCAGCCATGCTAGCAAACTATTAGTGGCGGATTCTATTTCAATTGTGCCCTCCAGATCTATTCCAGTGTAAGGCAGCGGTTTCCAAACATTGAGGCATCAGAAAGCTGCCAAGGCTGCCAGAGCAGGGTCCGTTTTAATTTGAGCTCAAGGCAGGTAACACAGAAACCAAGCATTTTTCAAAGGACAAGAGCTTTGGAGGGCTTTGGAGGACTTTAGGGGACCAAAAGTCAGATGCATCAATGGACAGAGGTGGAGAGACCTGCTTCACTAAGGTGCCCTCGAACCATGCACGGCACGAGTTACTGTTAAGAAACAGAGTTACCTAAAAACTGCAATAATAGCCACTAAAAAAAGAAAAAAAAAAAAAAAAAAAAAAAAAAAGTAAAAGTAAAAGAAGAAGAAGAAACTGATAGTGAATTTTTGGTTTCATCAACTCTATGCAAACATTTGTCCAATGCCCGGAAATGACAGTGAATGTCTCAAATGTGTTACAGCTCTCCAAAATACAATTGCATTATCTCTTGTGAGATAATGCAACTGACAAAACTGAATAGAATAGTAGATAATCGATTAAAGGGTACCAATTCACTGGGTTAAAAGTATTCATCAACAGCCAGCCCAAATACTTTAAGAGTATGATTGCTATACTTTTTATTGACAAGACCCTTGGCTTCATGTCAGTTTTGAAGAGCTTGAAGTGAAAGGAATAGCCGAACGGTTCGCAAGGAAAGGATCTGACAGCAGAAGGGGATTTGATCTTGTCACAATCTGGCAGAAATAGAGCAACCTCTATTATGATCTAACTAGTTATAGTGCAGGAAATGTTGGGACCAACTCTTCAATCTTACCCTGAAAAATTGATATACACCAGCCGAAAGCTTAGTTTTTGGTGACACCGCAAATATTGGGTCAACAAACTAGATCTGGACAACGTTTAGGCTGTAATGTCGTACCTCAGCAGACAACCCCCCCCCCCCCCTCCCTCTCTCTGCCCCCCCCCCAGCCTGACCCATAAATCTGCCCCTGCCCAGGGGCATTGGGAAGTACCATACTTTCCAGTCTTACAAGTCCTACCCACATAAATGGCTGTCTTCAGAAAAAAGTAGAAAATATATACTGTAAACAACTTCATTTTCGCGAGGACCTAATTTCGTAAATTTCGCGAATTGCCTGCAATTCGCAAAAAATAGGTCTGACGAACAGTTCTGGTAAAATTTAAACACATTGGAATCTATATAGAGATCCCACTGCTTCGCGAAAATTAGAACGCGCAAATTATTCCAAAACTTCAGCTTTGCCCTAAATCGCGAAATAGTGAGCCCGTGAAAAATAAGTTGTTTACAGTAGTTACACGGTTGACGAGACGAAACGTCACCGAAAAGTCAGCATACGTGTCCTATGGTCGCAACTGATGTGCAGGCGAGAGCGAGTATTAATAATCTCGTCAACAAATCAAACGAGGATTGTATAACCCCTGTGGCAAATTTGCGGAGTTAAAGTCCATACTTATAGAAATAAATAGAAGGAGAAAGCAACTTTTACATTGGAAAAAATTGGCAGTGACCTTTACTTTCAAAGCACTATGATACATGAAATGCAGTGTTTAAGTAATCATTTTTAATTTGTTTAGAAGACCATATAGAGCCTTGTGTAGTGTAAGTCACATCACGTCGTGCCACGCGACATTAATTTTTTTGCTAAATTTAGCAGGCAAGCTACATTGGTGTATAGGCCACGTGATGGCAGGTCATGTGACATCAAATTTCCCACTAAATTTATAGGGAAATACATGAACGGACAGATGAACGGACGGACAAAATGTTCGGATTGGGGGAAGCGTTAAAAGGCATTTCATGTTTTAACACGGTACACTACAAAGGGCAGTGTGGTGCGCGGAGGATGTGACTTGCCTTGTCGAAAGACCTTCCATCCCTGTAGTAGAGGACCGTGAGGGACTTGACGAGGGCGTCCTTGGCCTCCTCCTGACTTAGGTGGCCTCCTTTCTTCTCATAGGCGTCGCGCAGCAGCGGCTAGAACAAAGGAAAACAGGGGGCACTCTGTACCTCTAGAGTTCATTCTGGTAGCAAGTTCCCCCTTGCTCTGGACCCTGATCTACAGAAAGACCAAATAATAATGTTTCTGTAAATCGGACAACGCCTCACCACAGGCTTAAAGAACCTTTTACAAAGCATTTACACATGTTTTCATTGAAGAGGCACTGACACCCTAAAGGTAGTTTTTTTTTTGTTGGTTTGTTGTCTAAAACGATTCAAGTTGTAGCCATAGACACGCAAAAAAATACCACAATGCGAAAAAAAATTCCCCCCAAAATAAAAAGACCCGTGGGCCTTTTTATTTTTGTAGTTTGTCTCTCCCCCTTTTTACCCCTTGCTTCTTTTTATTTGTGGCGTAATCAATTAGAAAATTTAGAAGCTTTGTAAGCTACATTTCTATAATATTTAATAATAGCATTCATAAAACATTTTTTTTTTTTTTTAAACCATTGCGAATGCACAACCCTTCTTTTTGAAATGCAGAAAATCGGAGTCCGGAGTGATGTTACCTCCTGGCTTTTTATCCTCCCTCGCAGCACTATTTAAAAGAGCCTGACAACAAAGGCAAACATTTCTGGTTCAAAATTTTGACTTTTCGTGCATTAAAAATGGCAGGCAAAAAATAAGCTCCACCAGAGCTGCCCCCTTCCCTTTCCTTCTTTTCCTCAGACATGCGCAACAACGACAAGACATTATTTGAGAAGCAGGAGGGGGGGGGGGGTCCAGCCTGTTTTGAATTTGGAGCAATTCTTGAACCAGAAAAAAAAACCTAGTTTTGAAGCACCTTTGTATCAGAAAAACGCATTGGAGCAGCTCTGGAGCAGCACCTATTCGAGTATGAGGCAATTCGGTGCAGTTTCCTAATAGAGGTGTTTACTTGCACACATGTAAGCAATACTGCGTGATGCCCATTAAAAGCCCCAAGTTAGCAGTCACGCTGTACTAGCCAAATCACTTTTCTATGGCTGCAAAACAGTGCCAGAAACTCATCAAAATTTGTGCTTTGGTTATGTTAGTGCTAGTGGACAAAGGTTAACGGGATTGATGTAAGCGTGCTATCACTACTGAAAGGTTGGTGTAGAGTACCAATGTAACCCTTTATATAATAAAGAGAGCTATCACGTGGCACGAAAATCTGCATTTTCTGCACCTCTTACCTCCAAAAGAAAAGCTTGTTTTCTTACAAACATCTTATTTATGATGAAAGTCCCTGACAATCTCTCACCGTGTAAAAATGCAGCGTCTAACTTGCTTCGCTTTTCCTCGATCGTGATTGAAATTTAGCTGTCCAAGAATTCTATCTATTTCACAAAAGCTGATTTAAAAAAGATACGAGGGGTGACCAGAAGGTTTTGCAACTAGGCTATAACCAAAAGTCTGACAGTGACGTCTGTATAATTGTTGGTTAGCACATCTCTCTGGTTAAACATGTTCGTAATATCAAGACTCCTGGTTCCACTTTAGGTCTGCACCAGCCAGCTAAACATGGCATCCTCCTCCTACATGACAACACCCCTGTTCACAAGTCTCCATTGTCCAGGCTGTCATTCGAGAGTGCGCTTTTGAAGAGCTTGACCTCACACCCTAAAGTCCTGATCTGGCTCCTAGTGACTTTTTTTTATTCCTGAATCTGAAAAACACCTAAAAGAAACAAGGTTCAATGACTTGAGTGCACTTCGAACTGCCAGAGCAGTGGCTTGACGAGCAGGAAGAAAGATTTTTTTTGCGAGGCATTGAAAACCTTCAAGGCAAATGGAAGAAGTGAATTAAATTAAAGGGGCACTCAAGTGGCTTTTGAGTTCGTGTTTTGATGATGACAGCTGAATTTAGACGCCCTAAGTATCCCTAAAAACCAAAAAGTATAGTCATACCGTGATTATTTCTTTAAAAAAAATGTAATTGAAGGCCGCCAAACCTAGGAATCTATCCAAAAACGAAACCACTCTCATTGGTTCTCGCACGCTTATCAAAAGGATCTCGGGCCAATGGCGTTGGACGACGTTCCGTCGCGCAGTGATCCTGAGGTAGCCGCATCGGCCGAACCCCTTTGTCATTCGAGCTTCGATCATGGCGGAGTTCTCTACGCTCGAGGACCTGACGCCGTTAAGCGCAAAACACATGCACGACGAAACCGTCCGATCCGACGTGTGGACTGCCGGAATGACCTTGGGGGGAGAGGGTTTTCGTAGCATCGGAGAGCGTTGAAAACCCTCGCCTCCGACCGTCGTATTGCTCGGTCGGACGTCGGATCGGATGGTTTCGTCGTACATGTGTTTCGCGCCTTAAGCGCGAAACACATGTACGACGAAACCTTCCGATCTGACGTGCAGACTGCCGGAATGACCTTGGGGGGAGAGGGTTTTCGTAGCATCGGAGAGCGTTGAAAACTCTCGCCTCCGACCGTCGTATTGTGCGGTCGGACGTCGGATCGGACGGTTTCGTCGTACATGTGTTTCGCGCTTTAGAGGTTGACACTCTTCGGCGGACAGCCGACCTGGGGATGATTTCCTATGACGCCACTCCGACGTGCGATGTGGACGATAGCAGCGCTTCAGAGTCATGTTCGGGTTCCGAGGACGACGAAACGCAGACCTTTTCGGGCGTTCTTCGATTTCCGGTTCGGGCAAGTCTTAACCAAACCAACGTTTGGCATCGCAACGTAACCTATGGTACGTGATGTCAAAGGATGTCGCCACGTTGACTTTCGCCTCGGGAGGACGGGGGGAAGGCTGGTTCAGACATGAGCAACGAGCGCATACCTACGACTGCGTCCGTTGCAACCGGAGCGACAGGAACGACCGCTCTGCGCCGCGCGTACACACACCTGCAACCACTACAAGCGCAGCGGGTTGTCAGCACGGCGACTGCTTCTATACGCCGCCGTCAGCTGTTTCAGCGGCCCCTCAAAAAGGGGGGACACACTGCTACTTAATGCCGTAACAGAATATAGACAGAAAGTTTTCTATAGCCTAAAGCTTTATTATTAATTTTTTCTTGATAGGCTTGCAGGGTACAGTGGATGAAAAAAAATAATAAAAAGATGCAGTCCGCCGTCTTGGACGATCACGACTCTAATACACGACATTGCAATAGTACAAATATCGTCACATGCCTTTTCTACGATTATAAAAGACAATGTAATCTTAGCAGCGATATAGCAACGTAGAAATATGATTTCGTGATCAGATAGACGTTGAGAGCGTTGAGGATTGCTAGCCCTAATCACTTTTCTCCGGTGATGAAAACGCGTGAAAACTCGCATCCTTTATACGGTACACGCCAGTAATACCTTGAACTTCAGCACACGTATGAAATGCGCCAAATAAGAAATCCGGGCGATGTTCATGCTTAGAAAGCACCACTGTAGTCAAAGTAAACAAACACGACGGCATGGGCGTTTCTGTCGTCTTGAGAGTGCTGCCACGACATCGCCGCACGCGTAGGTGGATCTTCCCTTCCAGTACGTGCTGGGTTATCATAGCGACACAAGACGAAAATTCACAGTCAAGGATAGCGCTTTTACGTGGAACGATGAGCTTTCACCACGCCGCCCACGCCGACGATCACCACCGACGCCATGTTTGCGGATAGAAGGAGCCGGCCGGCCCGCGACTGGCACGACCGGCCTGCAACGCGCGGAGATACGTGCGCTCCCGCGCATCCATGGGGAACGCGAAATTCACCCCCCGCGGAGGAAGGCAAGGAAAAAACGTAGTCCCTTGTTTGTGAAACGATAATTGCACTATCGCATATTCTAAACTAGAAATATTTTACGTCTTGTGAAATTATCATGCACAACATATTCAATTGAACTGAAAATTGTTTCTTTAGCGAAACTTTACAAAGACCGCCAAAATTTTCAAACATACGATAATTTCATTGGTCCTCGCAAGTACAGAAAAGAGTCCGCACATATTTTATTCCTGCGTGATTAATAGGTGGTTCTGCCTTCCGAAGATACTCATTCACTGACACTTCCTTAACGCCATCGCACCAAAAAGTAGCTTCTCCAAAAACCGCTTGAGCGCCCCTTTAAAGGGGTCCTGCAATCATATTTAAGCGTCTACCTTTTATGCGGCTTCCATGTCTCTTGGGGTTCGGGCAAGCCAGCGGGCACGGAAAAAGTCGCTAAATATCAGTGCGCCATATTTTTAACCGAACGACACGGAAACCTCCTCCACCGACGAGGGCGACCCGCGGTACCGAAAGCGCGCAAAATGTGACGTCTTTGGTCCTGGGCTTACTACTGGTCAGAGCCACTAAAAACTTCTTTTTGGTAGAAATACAAAATACAAGTGGCGCGAACCGTTTCAATTATTTATAAAAGTAGTTTTTGTTCACTATTATAGATGAAAAAAAGAAAGAAATGCAGTTTATAAAGTATGGAAACAAGAAATGAACCGTCAACATACCCGCCGCCAAGCGGTGGAAAAGGCGACGCATACTAGAAAGGAGTAGTGGGATAAGGCGCCGACACGGAAAAATCCCGGATGTACGCGGTGGCGCTGCAGTCGTATAGATAGGAGGATCCGACCGGCTCCGAGCGTTCCGAAGGCCTTCGGCGAGAGGCTTTGTCTTACAGTTTGGCCGTTTCGCAGTATAGCAGCGCAAAGTGGCTCCCATTCTGAATTGATCTTTGCCCCGTGTTTGCTGTCGTTTGTGGCCAATGAAGTGTCATGCCGAATTAGTGGTTAATCGCGCAGCAAACGCGATGAAAGCCGCTTTGGCTGCCCGCTCCATGCAGCCTATTCAGAACATGCTTTAGTGGCGCCCTCTGGCGCCGTCAACACGGAGTGCGGCGGCCGTGTGCGCTCGATGAGCTCACTATTTCTCCTTTAGTTCACTGCCACTCAAGCCAGGACCTACGACGTCATGAAGGAGGTTATTTTTTGCTTGTTTTTGTAATTCTAAATTGCCTATAACTTTTAAAATAAAGCGAATTTCGGGAAAAGAAAAGTTTCACTAAGTTACTACGT